TATATATATATATATATATATATATATATATATATATGTATATATATATACATATATATATATACACATACTATATATATATACATATATACTATATATATACATATACTATACATTACTACTTCGTTATAATTTTAATTGTATCTCTCATCCTTATTTTGCACATATGTATATGTATATTTTGATATATTATACCAACATAAACATCCGCAGTCTAGTAATCTTAACTCATTGTGATATTTATGATACTTATGCTTTCATTGTCATACATCAATTAAGTACATTTGTACTTCCCGAATTTCTTATGACTGATATCTTTTAATATCTATATATTTATAGAATTAATTATTTAGTTAATGTTGATAGCTAAAAAGTGTGTAGTAATGTACAATTAATAAAAGTTTGAATATCTTTGAATCGATTTGTATTTCTCCGATCTTATTTTCATATATATTTAAAATTTTTTACTTAATCTAAAATATGTTTGGGTATATCAATCAACAATATATTTGATTAGATTTCATATTTATTTAATAATTGATATTATCAATAGCTCATAATTGATAGCGGAAAAATAAGGCAAATCAGAGATATCAATATTTTCAATTATATAAAAACTGTAGAATTTATTATCTATTCTATGAAATCAAGAAAAATTTTTGATATTTATAATTGCTTAGGAAATAGCAGAAACTAAATACTTAACAAAAATTAGCGCAATGATATTACGCAAACAATATTCAAATGCAAAATATATTGAGCATTATGCAATATCAATTATTCTTAATCTCTGATCCGCCTTCTTATCGTGAGACGGTTATGACAGAAAAAAGAGTTAAGACACTTGGAAGTCAGAGAGCCCAAGTTTCATACATGGGCTGGCTCGCTATGACTTTGATTTTACTTCAAACATTCATTCTCAATTAATTTTAACTGATAAGTGATAAAATCTGTTACTTTATATATGTACAATATTTCTTTACTTTATAATTTACTTACTTAAACGAACATATGTAACGCAGAAATACTATTAAATAACTATCTTCACACAACTAAGTATTTCGCATTGTCACTATCAATGTATGTGTGTAATAAGAACATGTAAAAACTTTCAAATGTGATCCTTAAATTTCACTATGTAGTTATCCTTAACATATCATTACAATTAAATGTATTTATAGTAAGTAATAGTATTCTATAAAGTAGGAAATATTTTGAGTATTCATCTCCTGCTAATATCTGGGCTGTATACACACTTCTTTCATTCAAAGATTCATATGAATCTTATACACCATATTATTTCTTCATATCATTATGGTGGGATTACTTATTGCCGAAAATTAATTACGAAGGAAATTCGACAGAAATTCACGCAATGTATTTATGTACAAATTATAGATTGTCCTTTTTTTAATAGATCAGTTTTGTCAGTAGATCAACACACGTCACTTCACTGTGTTCAAATTTGATCGTTCCGCCATTTTCTACAAATAAGGCACCTTTAACAAATTACGCTGTTATAGGCTATAACGATCTAGCAGTCCAACATTCAGTCAACGTCACAAAATCTGCACCGACGATAGTTAACTTGTAAATGCCAATAAGGCATACATAGTCATTTTAGCATAAAATAAAATCAATTACACGTATTTAATATTACTTAATGTAACAATTAAAATTTCATAAATTATTCCCTGTTTCATTTATCATTTTTTACAAATAAGAGGCATAAAATTTTTATAAACAATTTTTCACAAATCATTCTTACTTATTAACAAATATGATATTTGTACAAGTTTTTATGAAAGATAATTGTTATAATATTTTAAGAAACTAAGGAATAATTCAAGAACAAATAAAATTAATCTACTGAAATCAGCTTATACTACTTGGAATAAATCTATTTTTTAGCATTTCCTATGTATCGATCATACTTGTACGTGATCAAATAATCAGATTCAAAGATAATTTGTGCATATGGAATGCTATAAAGTTTAGAAATTCTGGAAGAAGTACCATATTATATCAACTTAAGTTTTTTCACTTTCTTATAAAAATCATTATCTTCGCCATATAGATAGAAATTGATATTATTATTAAAGGGTGCCATTTGCGAAATATTGATACCGGTCATATAATTTAGTAGACCATGAATGAATACTAGCTTCAACTAAATCTTCCACATGTCGACGTAATTGATCTTCTGTTAATGTAAGATGGAATCTATTTTTCAACCCTTGAACTGTCGCTGCTCCACCACTACGGAAACATGGAAGTTGCGATCCTATAACATATAAATAATAATAACAATTTTTAAATAAATTTTCTAATGTTAATATAAAATTTTCATAATTTTCAAAATTTTCATAACAAATTAGGAAATTTTTACCTGATAACATTATTTCCACTAAATTGACGATTTTTTCCATATGTTTCCGTGCTGCGATTAATCCTTGAAGAATTAAAGTTTTGAATTCTTGAAATTGTTTAGATTGACTTCCACCCATTACCTCCACAAATTCTGGAGTTAATTTAAAGGGACTAGTCTCAAATCCTAAGTTTCTTGGCGAAGTTGAAAGAATAAATCCAAAATCTATGTGTATTAAATGACCATCACTATGAAGTAAAATATTTCCATTATGACGATCTTTAACTTGAATAAGATAACAAACAAGACAATAAGCCGCGCAACTTTGAATAAAGTTTCTTTGCGCAATAATAAATGCTTCTGACATAGATGGGCCAAATTCTCTTTCAAAATATTGATAAAGTGTTAATTGGCACTGTTTTTTTACTTGATGAAGTGATACAGTATTTAAAATTGGCTCTATTAACCCACTATCATTCGATAAGCATAAAATTCTATAAAATAATATTTCATATTTAATAAATCATATTTATAATAAAATATTAAAACATATATAATAATAAAATGTTTCATACTTATATGGGCGCACCCAGAGAGGTACATGTTCATCTTGCCATATTTTTTGCAACATTGAAAGTAATTGTGAAGCAAGAAGTTCTTGTCGAAGATCATCACCGCATTTTACAATAACAGCAAGAAGTCTCCAAGATGCCAAATGACCATACGGACTGGATGACCTTATACGACGTTGTTTTAGTTCCCATGGTTCCTTGAGAACAGCTGCTGATGGATCTTCTGGATCATGATTAAACGTTGCACTAGGTGCAGCAGCCATTTCACTTAACCGCCTCTTTATATCACCAGGTACAAATATTGGTTCTTTACTATCTGATGATTCTTGACTCAATTGAGATATTGTATCTCTATCTTTTGGCTTACGTAATTGTAAATACTGCATGGAAAAAAAATAATTAACAATTTATATTTTCAAACTAAAAAAGAAATAAAAGAAATCACATAAACAAATACCTGTTGTGTGATTTCATCATCCTCTTGACTCCAACAATCACTAGGATCATCATCGGGAAAATTAAATGCGACTTCTGTATTTCTAACCGAATATGGAGAAATATTTTTAATTGGAGTTTGTCTAATCGGCAGCATATTCTGTTGCGTTTCTGAAGCGGATATGTTTGATGAACCCATTACATTAGATTGTTCACCTCCAGTTAAATTTTCTTCAGATTTAGTATGCCTCAATGAACATCCCACTATTTTTGTCGGTACAGGTGACGTATAAATATCTTCTACTTCTAACACTTCAACATAAATTATGTATGGTGCCTACATATGTTAAGATATATTAATATATATTCACGAAAAGAAATTATTAGTTATAACAAATTATTAGATTTTTAATATTTTTCACCTTATCCTTGCTATTAAGGACAGCAGCGTATTGTGGTGGCACTCGTACGATATGATGTGGTATTGAACTGTGCAAAGGAAGCCACACCCTTGCAGGGAGA